AGGTTGAGTCGTACGCTCTCGAGTCGTACGCTCTTGTGAGTTCGCAGTAAGCGTTGAGCTGTCGTTGACATTCATGCTGGAAGGCATTGCCTGATTGGGAAGTCCGTGATCGGAGTTCTTTTTTGATTTCATGTTTGAGATTTGTATGGGTGGAGAAGACAAAACGTTACAGCCGGTACATGTAGAAACGCGGGGCTGCCATTCCTGGCCTTCGGTGGCCGGCCGGTGAGCACTGACCGGCGTTCCTCGGTATGCGGTGAGTGTATGCGGTGAAGGCAGACGGCAGACGGCAGACGGCAGATGGCAGACGGGAAGGGAAGGGGTGGGGGACTCGGGGCGGTCAAGTGCGGCAGAACAAACCCGCCCACTAAATTTTCGAGAGCGGCAGGTGCCAGTCCAGTGGAAATTTTGGCAGGCGCTTTCCAGACGTGGCTGTCGATTTTGGGGCATTTCGACAACTTCATTCCACCCAACGACATTGAACAGATCGTCGCCATATACATATACCTTTGCAATGGCCAACGCGATCAACAAGCCCAAGAGTATGTTTTCCCTTGTGCCCCATTCTGTCGATTGTGCCCAGTGGCTGCCCCCGGCCTTTCGCCAGCTAACCTGAACACAGGGCCCAATTCCAAGAGGCAGCCCGTCCGCCTCCGCCACAAGATCCAGAAGGCCTCGGCCGCGAAGCAACGCAAGGAGAAGAAGCTCGGCAAGAAGAACCCAGAATGGCGCTCCAAGCTCAAGAAGGATCCCGGCATTCCCAACCTCTACCCCTTCAAGGAGAAGGTTCTCGAGGAGATTGAGGAGACGCGCATGCGCAAGAAGGAGGAACAGCTGAAGCGCCGTGAGATGGCCAAGGCTGCCAAGTCTGGCGTCCTCGGCCAGGATGGCGTCGATGCTGCCAACATGCCCGTCGACATCGAGGACGGCGACGTCGACGGCGACGTCGACGACATGAACGTGGACGGCGACGGCGAGCTCGACGAGTCCAACCCCATGGCCGCCCTCCTCGCCACGGCGCGCAAGGCCGCCGAGAAGTACGAAGGCGGAGACATGGACGAGGATGACGACGACGACGACGACGACGAAGAGGATACCAGAAACGTCGTCGACCCTACCTTCAAGAATGCCACGTCCCGCAAGGCCTACGATAAGATCTTCAAGCAGGTCGTTGAACAGGCCGACGTCATCCTCTACGTTCTCGACGCCCGAGACCCCGAGGGCACCCGCTCCCGCGACGTCGAGCGCGCCGTCATGGCTGCGGCCGCCGGCGGAAAGCGCCTCATCCTCGTCATCAACAAGATCGATCTCATCCCGGCCAAGACGCTCAAGGCCTGGCTCACCCACCTCCGCCGCTTCTTCCCCACCATGCCCCTGCGCGCCTCGAACCCGGCCCCCAACGCCCACACCTTCAACCACAAGGAGCTCACCGGCCAGAAGACGGCCAGCGACCTCCTGCGCGCTCTCAAGTCGTACGCCGCTTCCAAGAACCTCAAGCGCGCCGTCTCCGTCGGCGTCATTGGCTACCCCAACGTCGGCAAGTCCTCCGTCATCAACGCCCTCCTCGGACGCTACAGCAGCGGCAACCGCAGCGCCTGCCCCGCCGGCGCCGAGGCTGGTGTCACCAAGAGCATCCGCAACGTCAAGATCGACAGCAAGCTGACCCTCCTTGACTCGCCCGGCATCGTCTTCCCCTCGGCCTCGACCTCGACCACGGGCGGTCTCGTGTCGCTGAAGAACGCGGCCGAGGCGTTCGCCCATCTCGTCCTCCTCAACGCCGTCCCGCCCCGCCAGATCGAGGACCCCGTCCCCGCCGTCACTCTCCTGCTGAAGCGCCTGTCGTCCTCGGATGACCTGATGCAGAAGCTCACCGACGTCTACAACCTGCCGGCCCTGCTGCGCACCGGTGGCGACCCCACCACCGACTTCCTCGTTCAGGTCGCCCGCAAGCGCGGACGCCTCGGCCCCGGCGGTGTGCCGAACCTGCACTCTGCCGCTATGACCGTCGTCACCGACTGGCGCGACGGCCGCATTCAGGGCTGGACCGAGCCGCCCGTGCTCGCCGTCGCCGACGCCAACGCAGCCGTCGATGCTGATGCCGTTGTCGCCGACGACACGGCGGCGCCGGACCAAAAGACAGTCGTCACGGAGTGGGCCAAGGAGTTCAAGATTGAGGGCCTCTGGGCGACGACGGTGCTGACGACGAAGTCATGGAGCAATAGTTGTGCCTTCTCATGCGGAGGCTGCTTGTTTTGTTGATACCTAGGTAGATAGATGGTGCAGAGTTTGCTGGGTTTACTGGCGTTTAGGGCATGCAAAAGGGGCGAATACAAGTCACGATCTTTATGCTGAGCTGCTGGTTCCTTGCCTCTGGCGTGTTTGTCTGTGTACTCGTCTACTTCGTTTCCAGGTCCAAGCCTGCCAACA